CAACTCATTGACATGTTCAAGAAACCAATTTGAAATGATTCATGGTGCATTATCCTGCTGGAAGTAGCCATCAGAGGAAGGGGACATGGTGGCCATAAAGGGATGGACATGGTCAGAAACAATGCTCAGGTAGGCCGTGGCATTTAAACGATGCCCTATTGGCACTAAGGGGCCTAAAGTGTGCCAAGAAAACATCCCCACACCATTACACCACCACCACCAGCCTGCACAGTGGGAACAAGGCATGATGATCCATGTTCTCATTCTGTTTACACCAAATCATCTGAATGTCTCAACAGAAATCGAGACTCATCAGACCAGGCAACATTTCTCCAGTCTTCAACTGTCCAGTTTTGGTGAACTCTTGCAAACTGTCGCCTCTTTTTCCAATTTGTAGTGGAGATGAGTGGTACCCGGTGGGGTCTTCTGCTGTTGTAGCCCATCCGCCTCAAGGTTGTGTGTGTTGTCTGCATACCTCGGTTGTAACGAGTGGTTATTTCAGTCAAAGTTGCTCTTCTATCAGCTTGAATCAGTCGGCCCATTCTCCTCTGACCTCTCGCATCAACAAGGCATTTTGGCCCACATGACTGCCGCATACTGGATGTTTTTTTCCTTTTCACAGCATTCTTTGTAAACCCTAGAAATGGTTGTGTGTGAAAATCCCAGTAACTGAGCAGATTGTGAAATACTCAGACATCAACAACCATGCCACGCTCAAAATTGCTTAAATTACCTTTTTTTCCCATTCTGACATTCAGTTTGGAGTTCAGGAGATTGTCTTGACCAGGACCACACCCCGAAATGCATTGAAGCAACTGCCATGTGATTGGCTGATTAGATCATTGCATTAATGAGAGAAATTGAACAGGAATCCTTTAGGTAAGTGTATATATCAATAATCAATCACAACGAATTATAATTAAATATTAATATTTCAATTGTCTACGATAGATCGGAGTCCAAGGATAAACTGTCATGGGGTCAATTTATTATCGAATAATCTGCTTTTTCCAGCAAAACTGATCGTCCAGTCTTCATCAAACCTAAATAAATAACTTTCCTGTTCTATAAAAATACTATTTAACAGGGGCGGTTTCTTCATTAGGGCGATTGGGCGACGCACCACCAAAGTGTGAATCACATTCGCAATCTCATTCAACCAGAGAGTTACCCTAGCCGTCACTGGATATAGTCCAATCAGCGTCATGTCACGTTCTGTGGAGTACCGCCTCTTTTTGGGCGATTTCACTCTGGCTGAGAATCGCCCAGAGTGTTCCCATAGACTTGCATTCAAATATTTTTTTTTTTTTCGAACTGCAGGCACTGCAATGCATTCTCTATGGGTTCCGGGAGGGCTCGCACTAACGTGCTTACATCATCATACGTATCCTTAACTTGTGCAGCGATTGGTGGGAACAAACATAAGATTAAGTGAAAAATAATATTTTAAAACAATTTTGAATTTAAACAACAACAATAAAAAATGAAACACTACTTTATTATCTTTATTAAATTGATTTAAACAAGTCTGAACAAGTCTTGATTTGAACAATGTCATGGCGAACACAGTCCTTTAGAAGCCTAACTTACACAGCAAATTTCAGGAGTTGAAAAATCATGAGTTAGGCAAAAAAGTTATTTTTTTTAACTCTAACTACACTTTGTGTTATTGGATACTCCCGGGCTGTGTTGTATTTTGGAGTTCATTCATTGGCGTTCAGGAGTGTGTTTTGGTTTTAACGCTAACGTTACACCTGGAGTTATTTTTGAGAAGTGCGCCACGACAGCTGGACAAAGGAATAATGGACTTATGTGCCTCGTCGTGAGGTAGGTAAAAGTGTATATAAAACTATTTAAAAATGTTCTATATTTTCTGACAAACACGTTTGGTCATCGCGTAGCTGCTACGTTATAGGCTAGTTATACTGTTTACTAACGTCAACGACTATGACAAACTTGCTGTTGAACGTTTGTTTACTTGTTTCAAATTTTGAAATGGCTATTTGCGTGGGGGTTTGTCGATGTAAACGAGTTAACATTAGCTAACCGTCTTTCCATTCACCGTGTTTCTGAAAATGAGTGTTTTACCGTGAAATTGATGCATCAATACATTACAGGCATACGTGGTAACAAAATTGCAGTGTCTAACGTTACCCTGGAAAATAAGATATAAGTTAGTTGTGCTGTGTAGGCCTGCAATTATTTGAATTGTAATAGCTATAACGTTACCCAGATAGCAAACTGACATTGAATCAACGTGGAAATATGACATCGAAACAACGTTGATCTGACATTGTTTTGCTCATCGAATTAACGTTGAACCAACGTCAGACGCGTCATTCTTTCAAAACTAACGGAAAATCAACTTGAAATCAACGCGTTGTTTCAACGTTATGAAAGCAAACCAATTTTCGATTTTCATTTAGCTTTGAAGAATGCCGCGTCTGACGTTGGTTCAACGTTAATTCGATGAGCAAAATCAACGTTGTTTCAATGTCATGAGAGACGTCGTTTCCACGTTGATTCAATGTCAGTTTGCTGTCTGGGTAGGCTACGTGGTGACCCACGATGTGCGTGATTTTCAGCTAATATATTTTTGCATTCTCAATGAATGGTGCTAGATTATGCCTCATACGGTTTTTGTGATCTTCAGATACGACTGTTCTGCAGACAACCGGTTGAAGGTTACTCCTCAAATCAAATGGATTTGCTGAAATAAAGGCAGTAAATCAAGAATATGGTGTCCAGTGTAGTAATTTCCACACAAAACATTATATTGTGTTGAACTCTAAGAAGTGTTAAACTAAATATTTTTTTTAAGTGTTACTTTTTAACACTGGTATTGAGTTCATATAATTATTTTTAGACTTACATTTACTCTCCGTAGGATTAGTATTTTAACTCCATAAAGAGTTACATTTTAACTCTGAAAAAGTGTTAATTGTGTTATTTTAACTCTGCACTGGAGTCTATTTGATGGTCTCACATGTACACTCAGATTGAGTTGATTTTAACTAACAGGGAGTTTATTCCAAAAACCAGAATTTGCTGTGTATGGAGGACTGATCCAGCTCTCGATTTAATCAAAAATAATTTGTGTTCCGAAGATGAACGAAGGTCTGACGGGGGTTGGGACAACATGAGGTTGAGTAATTATCATTTTTGGGTGAACTATCTCTTTAAGTGAGTAATGTGATAAAATAAGTGTAATAATAGTGAGTATAGAAACAAGAAGATTTATTGTTATTAAGTCACTTTATTTGTCATTAATATTAAAGTGAAGTTGACTTTACATGCTTAAGACGTTAATTTATCCATTGCATGGGTGGGCCTTGTCCTTTTCAATCATCCAAATATTTGCCCCCCCCCTGAGAGATTTTGTAGGAGCCGCCACTGCTATTTAAGTATTGAAAATTTTGACCGAACATTTAAGGGACCTCGTAGTGTGAGCAGCAGACGGAGTCAATCAAATGAATATAATGTATTTAATAAAGGAAAACTAAACAGTCTGAAAGCTCGATAAAATGAATATTTGCATATAAGGTTCTCTTATGTTGCTGAGTAAGGAAATCGCGTGTTGTGTCGCACGTTCTCCGTGGTTCTTCCGGGTGTGGGGAAGAGAAGAAGTTGAAGAGCTGAAGACTGAAGACCATGGAAAACGGGAGAGGGAGAGGAACTGGCGACTGGCCAATAGGAACGTGGCCATTCCACACAATTTTCACACTGAAAGCAAAATCCTGACTCGAGAGGAAGAAATTCAGTAGCACCTCAATGCAGTACATGAGATCCACGGGGAGGAGTCGGATCAAGATCCAAGGGGTGGAGTTGGGTAGGATTAGGGTTGGGTTTAGGGATTAGGGGCGGAGT